TGCTGAGGGGAGCAGCGGGCAAGTCAGGAGAGGTCTGTTGCGCCATGTGGGATACTCCCTGGCCGGGGATCGAACTCGTGCTGCAGTGGCTGTGATAGCTTCATAGGTTGTGTCTTAACCCCTTTCTCCAGGGCGGCCCCTATAATGGTACTTCTTTAAACAGATACATCTTAATAAGGAATTCACTTTTCAGATCATATTTGATCTATCGGAAGAACATAGGTATTGGTATTCTTAACTGCTTTATGCATTAAGATCCAAACGGAAATAGAATCTACCAGTTCAGGGACTTCCCTTCATAAATAATTGGCTCAAAATTGAAAAATGACAAATAGTAGGAGATTTTAGGAAATGTGAATGCTGAAGAAAAGATTATAAAGATACAGTGTCAAAACAGCAGTAATCCGTGAGAGAAAAATGATTGAAAGCATTTGTGACTGTAAATCATTTTAGAAAATGTGGCATTCTCTTTGTTATGAGCAAAATGTTAAATATTCATAGTACAATGCTCACTTATCAACTGTAATCAGCAATCTATAAAAGTATTACAAAATGATCAGAACATGTTGACTACCTAATTAAATACAAATTTGACTAAAATGAAGTGTAGCATGTTAAATTAAATTTAATTTTGACCAATTTGCATGTAATTATTTTAAGTTTAAGGGAGCTTTCACCAAATACAGATTTCACAACTCATTTATTCACTCAACCATTTATGACACAAAGGCTTTTTTTTGCCTGTGATCAATGTTTTAAGTTTTCTTTGATTCATCTGTGAGCTCCCACCGGGCAGCAGGCACTGTGCTGGTGGTGGCTGTTACAGAGCAGCTCAGACAAAGAAAGGCATTAAGTTGCTCATTCCAGACCTTCAGATGCCACTCAAAGTCCCTTCTTGGCCTCCTCTGACAGATCCAACTGTATTAGATTCCACAATAATTGCAATGTCAGCGCTTGCATTCTTTTGTAGTATATATCAATATTTTTCTACTTATATATTATATCTCTGTCCTCTGTAATGTAAGTTTTAAAAGGAAGGCTGTTTACATGTCTTGTTCATAGTATCTTCAGAGCCTAAATTGTATTAGATGCCCAACAAACAAAATGAATAATATCTATTGTTACAATTAAGGTAGAATGATTTGATGCTCTAGGTAGTTTTTCCCTCCATGACATAAAGTATTGTTAGCATGAAACAATCAGTTCATAAGATCTGAGTTGTGTAGCCTCATCCAGATGCAAAAGCACATGTTAATACATGCCACGGAGAGACAAACTAGCACATGTTATAGAGGAACATGTTAATGCATACCATAGAGTGCTATAGACTAAGTGTTCGTGTACCCCAAAATTTATATATGGAAATTTAATCCCCAATGTGATGGCATTTGGAGTTGGGGAGTCTTTGAGAGGTGATAGGTCATAAGGGTGAAGTCTTCACTAATGGCATTAGTGTCCTAGTGAAAAAGAGAGCCAAGATAGATCCCCACCCACTTCCTCCATGTGTGGGGTACCCTAAAGCAGACTTTGGGCAACATTCTTCCTCTGCAGCCTAAGTTAGCATTGCTACTATATGGAACATTACCTATTTTCCATTGCCTTGGGAATTTTAGGTCTTTGGATCTAAATAACAATAACAACAATAATAATAGTTAACAAGTGATTCTATAAATAATAATAAAATACGAATTTATTTAAGTGATTTTAAAATGTAATATAACTTTTTTATTGAGGAAACATTGCTTATAACATGGCATAAATTTGAGGTGTTAGCTTTATACTCTAATGCCTGCATATACTACATCATGGTCAACCCCATGCAAGTCACTACCATCCAATTTACTCCCCTTGCCCATTTTACCCACCCCTTGACTTCTTTCCCCTTTAGTAATTACCATTTTGTTGTCAAAATCTATGAGTTTTTGTTTTGTTTGTTCATTTGTTTCATTTCTTTATCTTCCACATATGAGTGAAATCCTAGTGTTTGTCTTAACACCCTCTGACTTATTTTGCTAAGTAAAATCCCCTTGAGGTCTATCCATATTTTTAATCTTATCTTATCTTATCTTATCTAATTGTGTATATAAGAACTGGGGTACAGGCCAGAGGTGTGGGGGGTTGAGAGAATTTACCAGAAACAGAGTGGGTAGTAGAACAGGCAGACTGACTGAAATACACTGCTGAGGGAAGGAGCGGGCGAGCCAGGAGAGGTCTGCTGTGCCATGTGGGTAGCTCCCTGGCTGGGGATCAAACGTGTGCTGCAGTGGCTGTGGATAGCTTCATAGGTTGTGTCTTAACCCCTTGCACCACCAGGGAGGCCCATCATCCATATTGTTTTAAGAAGGAAGGCCGTTTTCCTGTCTTATTGTGTTCTTTGTGTTATGTCAGTCTCGTGGAGGAATTTTTTTTTTTTTTTTGAGTTTGTGAAGGTCAAGAGCTGGAAGCAGGAGAGATCAGAGCTTCGTGGTCACAGGTACCATTAAACCCTCCTTCCTCTGCATCTCTGTGGTTACCGTGGCAACACATTTGCTCTCTAGCTTTTGGAAATTGCTAGAAAGTAGAAATAATTTGGGCTGATTTTGCCATGAAGATGACTGAATCTCAGGCTAGCAGATCATTGTTTTTCTCCCCATTAGGAAAAATCTCTCTCATGAATGTAATCTTGTCATTAGTTAGGCATTTCCCTACATGCTCATGTGCGGGCTTTAAAATACCTTAGAAACTCAGTGACCACTTCTGGGAAAAGGACAATTCAAGACTTATTTTAAGAATCATTTCTAGGGGGAAAAGAGTAATCGGGCCTGTCTCCTGTTTTGTTTCTTGTTAAACAGAAAGAACTGGAATCTTGTTAGTCCTACCCCTTAGGATCTTAAACAGCACACCACCACCACTATTTAACATTTTTGAAAGCACGTAAATTTGCAGATGATATGTAAATATTAAACTCTCAATGACTGATACGAACATGTTTTGTATCAGTCAAAGGTTTTTCTTGGGTCTTGAAAGTACAAGGAGGAAATGCATTCAAGGAGATGGTCATTCACATAATTCTGTCCAGCTGTGAGAACCAGTGAGGTGACCTCATTATTTCCCTGGCCTCTGGTCCACCTGGCAATGCAGCATATTTAGTATCACTTAATATCTCTCATAAAACTACTTGCTGGGGATGTCACACAGAACATACATCAAGTTCTGCTTTGATCCATCCGGAGCCCCATTCATTTCTCTCCACACCTCATGAGGGCTTTTCACCACCATTGCTATAGAGGTACTGCTGGAACGTGCCCTGAGAGACTGATGTCTGTGGTAAAGCTTGATGCACTAGGTAGGCCCGTGTCACACAGATGTTCTCGATGCATAGAATTATGATGCCCTGTCATGGGCCAGCAAAGCTCCCACATATCCCAGAATTCCTATGAAAAGAGCTACTTCAGGTTCTGTCTGCGGGATCTTTTGCGCAGACTTAGTCATAATTCCTCAAAGACCCATACAATTATAAATGTGATACCACACTTCATCTCCTGAATCTTTCTCCCCCTCACTCACATGCAACATCCCTCTCCAGTTCCAGTTCTAGCTCTTTGGTTCCAAGAGAAATTCCTTTCTTTTAAACATAAACCCTTAGAAAAATCGAACAGTATAAATTGACAGCTCTAAAGCTGAAGTCCCTGTACCTCTGCGGGGTTCCTGAGGTCCTTTGGTGATTCATGGAGTCAAAACTAATACTAATACAAAAGGTCTCCTTTCATGTATACTTGGGTTTTAGGAATTTTTGATTTCCAACATGAGTGAGCTTTCATTATGTCTCCATCCATAATAATCCCCCTGAAAACTAAAAGAGCTGGCATAGTGCACACGAGCGAAAATTATTCACTACATGAGAATTTCAGCATTCAGGCTGAAAAGATTTTGGTTTCATGAAGGATGGGGTGACATCCCTGCACTGCAGGGCAAGAAAAAAGGCCTTCATGATCAGAGCTGAAGTGGTTGGGATTCATTTGTGAGATATTTGCCTTGTAACCCACAGGATGAAAATTAAATGTCCCTTCTAAGTGGTTCTTCACTACATTGGTCAGTCCTGAGCCAGAGCTGGCTGACTCAAGTTATACAACTCAGAACCTGTCTTGCAATAACATGGACATGGGATGAAGAGAATCTAGCAAGTGCCACACCTTGTCTGTACAAGGGTAGGAGAAAGCTACTCTGCAGAGAGAAAGAAGGTTGCAACATTCAGTGAAAAGAGCTAAGTGACAATGTGACCCCAGAAAGACAGTTCTTAGGCATCTTGATTTTCTATTGCTCTTCAAAATCTAGTTCCAGGCTATTAGGAAGACTGAATTTATTTCTAATTCTTTCATTCCATAAAAAGTTCCTTTCTGCTAAAGCAAATTCCCTTTGTAACAGAACTCCAGTGAGTTCTGTTCTTTAAGAAGCAAGCAATTCTTGGTGAAGGCAAAATTTAATATGGAAAGGGCGGCTATCAACCCACAGGACACCTTTGACTAAGTTTTTAAAAAAGCACCTGTTCTTCAAGTAAAATACTTCTTAAGTAAGCATATTACATATATAGCAATTATATAAATTATGTATGATTATAACAATTGTGTAATTATTATGTAACATTTACAAATGGAAAATTCTAGGAATACAAATAAATTTTTGAACATAAAAATTTCAATCACAGTATTCAAAGTCTAGATATAATGATTATCATCATAAAAGAGTAATACATCTGCTATTGTGAATAGAGAATTCTTTATAATAGTGTCAGTTCTAACTGCTCCAGTACTACATTTGCTATAGAAATAAAGGCTAGATTTAACAATCATTCTTGTACCATTGAAACTTAAAGTACTTTTTCAGCAGTAATTTTGAGAAGCTTTTTTCCACTGGGAGCCAATGTTATAAAATTATTCATTTGAAAACTACAGAAATATTCAAAAGTGTATTTAGTGAACTATTTGTAGTAAATATGCAATATATTTTTTTAAAGACTCATTTATTTATGCATACAAGAACATGGCATAGACCAGAGGTGTGTGTTTGGGGGGGGGGGTGAGAGGATTCACTAGAGACAGAACAGGCAGATTGACTGAAATACAATGCTGAGGGGAGCAGCGGGAGAGTCAGGAGAGGTCTGCTGCGCGATGTGAGTAGCTCCCTGGCTAGGAATCGAACTCGTGCTGAAGTGGCTGTGGAGAGCTTGATAGGTTGCATCTTAACCCCTTGAGCCACCAGGGAGGCCCTATGCAAAATATTTAAATATCATCCTTCCTAAATTTAAAAATTCTTAATTTTTTTAGTTTCCTTTATGTTGATGTACATCAATAACATATTCTTTATTGTTTAGTAATTTTTACTGTTATATTTCACATCATTATATTAGCTCACATTCATTATAACTCTACTAGTTACTATTCTGAATTATCAAAACATGTTTTTTCAGATTATAAAACCATTTCTTAAAATTATATAATTTTATTCAATATAGAAAAGTTAATTGATGTAAAATTTAGTATTGTATTAAAGATAAATTGATGTTTACATATATACATATATTAGACAAAGTAAACTTTAAGTTAAAATCTGTCTCTAGAGACAAAGAAAACAGCAAATATAGACATATCTGAGGGGAAAAATTGATATCAATGCAAAAATAGTAAGATACCTCAATTTCCCACTTTAAAAAAGGAGTAGTGCATTCAGACAAAATCAATCAACAACTGACTTAACACTTTAGGCCAAACAGATTTAACAGATATGAAACAGCAAAAATACACATTCTTTTCAATCCTGTTTCTGGGTATATATATATTCAAAGAAAATAAAATTAGTACCTTGAAGATGTTTTCTGTACTCCCAAGTTCATTGCAGCATTATTCACAATAGCCAAGATGTGGAAACTCCCTACAAATTCATCAACAGATGAAATGGTAACTATGTGCAGTGATGGATAAACTACTTAACTGGTTTGTGGTAATTATTCTAAAAAGTATGCAAAGTACACAAAGGCAAATCTCCTTTATTTAATTTTTCACTACCAATTTTTCTTTCTGACTGGAGGAAGTGTTTTATCTTGTACTGTGGCAAACTGTGCAGAAGACTTGCTATTGAAGTTTCTTTCCTATAAAGACTAAGAAGTGATTATATTGGACTTTGGACAAAGTAAACATTTGTCTTACTTTTTATTTAGTTTTAGAAAAGTTTTTCTATCTTGCATAAAAAATAAACTTCCACAGTAGATGTATGGATATGGGTTCTTTTAAGCATACATACATACTTATTTACAAAGAGAAAGTGTGCACTGTGTACAATGTGTCTCTGTGTTTATATATATAATTTGGTGACTCTTGTGATAAAAACAGATTCTTTCATTCTATAAAGATTAATGTGATACTTTTTAAGGATGACACATTTCACAGTAGCTCATATGTGCACATTAACTGCTTCCAGTTAAGCCTTGTATAAACCAAGCTTTGACTTTGAGACTTTCTAATCCAGACAGTAAATGCAAAGAACTCGAGGGTCACAACCACATTACATTCTCTTGACTTTCCCTGAAGGAATGTACACAAAAATAATCTCATCTTGGAGCTGGGAATATTGAGTCATAATGATGAATGGATCTCAAGGATCTAATATAAATCTGAAAGTACACCACATAAGCCCCACTGAGCTCCTGCTCTCTACAGTGCCCCCTGCAGGCTCAGCATACAGTCATTTCTGTCCTTAGACTGAGGGATTTGGGGACTGTAGACAGAGCTAATCAGGAACTCATATTGTGTGCTGATTTTGATAACATTTCAGGACGGACTCTCCAGAATCTTCAGGAAACTGCTTTGTCATTTTCAGCCTTTCCCAAAGACTGTTCTTGCCTTGAGCCCCAGACCAGAGTCTGGGTGCCTTTCTTTCTGCTGTCTGACTCGAACTTCTTGCCAGCAGGTTCCATATTAGCTGCAATGCAACTTCATTTACAACAGCTAAGCTTTGGAAACAAGCTAAATTCCCATCAATGGATGAATGAACAAATAAGGTGTAGTGTAAATACGCAATGGAGTACTATTCATCTTTACAGAAGGATGAAATGTTGCCTTTTGCAAGCATAGATAGACTTCGAGGGTGTTATGCTAAATGAAAAAAGTCAGACAGAGAATGACAAACAACTCTGAATGGCCTCACTCACATACGGAAGGTAAAAAAACAAGACAAGCAAAAAGAAACTTAGAAGATAAAAACAAAAGGTTACCAGAAGGACAGGGGGAGAGAGTTGGTATGTTAGATGGTGGTTTGGGGCATGGTTGGTGGAGGGAATTTAAAAAAAAAAAAGGAAAAAAATGCATGGGGGAGGGAGGTGAGTAAATGCAAATTTTTCTAATCAGAAAAAGAGTATAATGGAGCCCACTTGTAAATATAACATCAAATTTATCAAATTGTTAGCCCTGGCTAGGACATTTTTCAAGAGAAAAATTTGTTTTTTATCTTCGTTTCTGTCAATAATCTTATTTTCCTTTCACCTAATTCCAAAAGGCTGTTTTTCAAAGGAATGAGTTGTTTTGTTTGCCGCTCAAGAAGGCATCATCTCTATGGAGACCCGCGCACGCGAACCGGCTAGTCGGAAAGGCGAGGCTGCTTCCCCTGGAAGTGACCCTTCCTCCAAGTGGTACTCAACAGATACACTGGATTTTCTTCATTTAAATGGAGTAGAAATTAATTTCTTTGAAAAGCAAGCTCTCTGAAAATAACGCAAAATGCCTATTTGGTGCCCTGATCTCAAATTTATTTGGTTACATTTCTGATTATTCGTGAAGGTAAATAAAAGTGTATAATGTGTGTATATAGTCCCTACATGCACACATGCTGGGAGCTTGTGACTCAAGACCATGGATTTTGTGGCTCCATGAATTTTGTGGCTTGTGGCATCTTTTGGTCATAAATCAAGGGTTTTGAGAATTCTTTTGTGAGGCTTGCTACTTTTATAGGCTGTGTCCTTAATGCACTTGATTTTTACTCCCTCAAATTCCTGCTCTTACATGGAATTGTGTCTTTGGACGGAGGGGGCTGGAGAGGATGAACATGTGCTATGAGTTCATTCGGTTGGGTTTAAATCAGCTTTTATGACTTATTGGTTAAATGACCCTGGGGAAGTTGTGCTCCTTGAGCCTCCATTTCTTCATCCTTGCCTTGTGAATAACAAAAGTGACTGTTCCTTAAAATTCTGAAGCTATTCCTGTGAAAAGTTTTTAGAATTTCTCTTTCTCACCCTGCCTTAGTCCATTTGGGCTGCTGTAACAAAAATCCCACAGGCTGTGTGGCTTATAAACAATAGGAAATTATTTTTTCACAGTTCTGGTGGCTGGGAAGTCTGCACTCAAGTCCTGGCTGATAAAAGTAATAAGATCTGATTGTCTGGTGAGAGTCCGGTTCTTGGTTCACAGATGGCTATGTGTTTTCATAAGGCAGAAGGGGTGAGGGAGCTCACTGGGGTCTCTCTTAAGGGCACAAACCCCACTCTCGAGGGCCCTGTCATCATGGCCTTATCATCTCCTGAAAGCCCCACCTCCTTCTACTGAGGTGGGACAGGAATTGAGCACAAAGCTGCAGCCCTATGTCCCCCACCCAGCATTTCTGAATAACATGTCAGAACAAAGTGACTCAAATCCTATTAATTTATCTCACACCAGGTATCACTAGTTGTAAAACCTGTCTTATCTAACAGGAGGCCAGGGATCAGTGCTTTTGATAAATGAATTTGGCCAAATCTCATTATCCCAATCTGTAAATTCCTGTCCCTTTTGTAAAGTAAAACTGGCCAAAACCCATTCTCTCATCTATAAATTCCTCCCCCTTTTGTTAAGCAAAGGATGTCAAAATCCATTCATGATCCCATCTGTGAACCCCTGTCCCCTCAAACTGAGCAAGTATTTATCAGCAGCCTTCAGACCCAAGGTGGGATTCTCCTTGAATCTGCCTGCACTCACTCGAGTGTGTTCTCTCACCTCCATTAAAGCTTCATCTCAGCTCACCGATGCTGACTCCTACATGAATTCTTCCCTGCGTAGAAGTCAAGAACCTTGGAGTCCCTCAGCACCCTTGGGCCCCCCAAATACAATGGATGTTAGGATTTAATGGAGGAATCTTGGTGGCACACAAACATCCCCATGGTACTCTCCTTCAATGCTTGTCTCTTTACAAACACAGGGCTTTGGATAATAGAAGGTAAGAGCACTGCTTCTCCCCCTCAGAGAAGAAGGGTTGGGATGGAAGAGCTGGGCCAGCTTCTAGCTACCGGTAAGAACTGTGGTGATGGAAAGGTCAGGAGACATCCTGGTCCTTTGACACAAGTGCTTCCAGATTCTGCCTGCCTGCTTTTTAACAACTGAGGTAGAAACATTCACCTATTGGCTCAGCTTTTTGCCTATGTCCGGGGTGAAAACAAAACAGACACTATAAAAATCGGGAAGTTTCCATCGGGTATCTTTGTTTATCTGCTCTCTCTCTTTTTTTCATTTAACAAGTCTCCTTCTTTTGTGCTTTTGCTATTAAATGTATTTCTTCTCTCATGCTTGGTTCCTGTCACAGAGTAATATATTATTCAAAAGCATAATTATAATATTTTAAAAAAAATAGACAAACAAGAAACAAGATACCTTTAATGTTCCTTGTACTTCTCTACTAACTTTGATAAAGTTAAAAACAATTCAATTGGTAACAGGGTGGTTCCAGGGAATGGGGAGGTTCCAGGTTCCCTGCCCCACCCAGGGAAGGGGGGAACTGAGCAGGGAGGAGAAGTTGGGGAGGAGACTGAAGAAGGAAGCAGGATGGGAGCCAGAAGGAGGCCTGTCGGATGCACACGGGGTAGAGACATGTGAAGAAGCTGCGCTTTGCTTCTTGGTCTTGGACTGGTTGAAACAGATGTGGGTGAGAGACCATGGGAGGTTAACAATGGCAGCTTTTACCTTGATTTTGATTTTGCTCTGTCTGCCTCAGATGTGCTGGGCTCCTTCTGTCCTTTTCCTAACGGTCCCCACCAAGGGGTGCCTTAGACATGTGGCAGGCTTTGGGCCTCAGAGGCCCTGCTTTGGGCCAACCTGTTTGGCTGGACATTACCCATGAGGGGATGGGTAACTCTGGGTGCTTGATTTGGAGACTTTTTTTTCTGTGTCTTTGTAGCATACTAATTGTTTTAAAGTTCCTTTCCATTAAAGATCTTACACACTAGAGTATGTTTTGCTTGATGCAGCAGATGGCAGAACCTAAATAGAGTGGGAAAGTTTGGGGGTTCTGGGGTGCCTCTCACCCTGCCCTGTAACAAATCTTCATATGATAAAGGCTTCTGGGTCAGTGACCTGGGTGAAGGTTATAAGTTGCTCACATGAGTCTTATCACCACTGAGAAACATGAACTTTCCTCAATTTTACTCCAAATAATTTATCCAGGGGCTATGAAAGTATCAGTGGGAAAGATGAATCACTTCAACTTCCTACTGGAGAATCTGAATAGAGATACTGTTAAAAACTCTTGAGCTTCTTCTCAAATAAGAAGCAACATTAATCACAATCTGTGTCACCACTGAGATGATTATCCAGGGGGAAACATCACCAATATTAGTATTGCTATGACAGATCCATAAGTATTTTTTTCTCTACCGCAATATACAATATGTTCCCATGGATACCTTTTGCTTATCTGTAAAAAAAAAAAAAACCAAAAACAGTGCTAATAAAGAGTATGCTTTTCATATTGCCTTGATTAGATAAATGCCAAATGTTGAATTACAGATATTTAGGTAATCCAAACTTCAGGAGTTGGCAGCAGTCTCAAAATTCAATTAAACACTAATTATTTACTTAACTAATTACCTAAATAAAATGTTTTCTTTACAAATGAAGATGCTAATTAAGGCAAAT